ACGCCCTTAAGAGCAAATTAGGTTATTAAGTAAGTCATACCTCTTCAATTGAAATTGAGCTTGTTGTGTTTTAAAGATGTTATAATTGATTGTATTTTCTTTTCTAAACCTCATTAAGTGATTCTAGATCAAACTTAGTTCACTACTAAGCTCTTAAATACCTTAAGGGTGGATTTGTAATTTTGAAAAAGGGTTTGAATGAAATGCCTTAATCCTTATTAAAAGATTGTATTATCATCTAATCGTTGGCTTGGGGCTTCAAATTAGTGAGTTGTCATCTTCCTAGATCAAGCCCTTCACATTAGGATCATCCAACTTAATTAACTTCCAAACCATAATAATTTAACAAAACTACATGTTTACCCTTTTATATTAAATAACATGAATTGTTTTCTACCTTTAACCCTTTATGTTTTAATAATTTAAGAGAGGTATTTATGATCAATATTACCCATTTGTCTTCTGGTTTTGACCTAAATCTTAATTAAAGTTCAAAATTTCATAATTATCATTTTACCCATAAGACTTTCCACTTCATAATTCTCTCAATCTAACTCAAGTGACTTTGAAACTTTACTGCTACCCTACTCATTGGTTAATTAAAATATCAGAGGAGAATTTAGATTTTTTCAGATTTTTATTTAATTTCGAATAAATATTTTCGCTCAAAAATAGAAATTTTCATTGTTAATTAATTTAACCAACTAAAACATACCTTATGTCCTTAGGAAATTTTTAGGAGGTTTACCTAGATGAGAGAACTCTAGAAATAATTTTTGTTAATTTAGGAATTATATTTTAATTTTTACAAATTTTAGTTGATTTTAATGAATAGCTAAATAAAAAATATATTTTTATTTCAAAAATTTATTTTTATATTTTTTATAAGTCTCTCTGACTTTAAAGAACTCACAGCTGTCTGGCCTAAAGGCCTCTAGGCCTCGCAGCCACCCGGCTTGATGGTCTCCTGGTCTCACAGTCAGCCAGCTTGACGACGGCCAGCCTCATAGTCGCCTGCCTATTCGTAGTCTGGCCTAACGACCACTGGTCAGAAGGCCGCCCGGCTAAATCTATGGGCCCCATGTGTCATTTTTATGTATGGACCAAAACACCCCCGTCATACCTACAAACTTTAGGGGTACAATAAGTAATTGTACAATGACCCATCTCTATAATTTGAGGGTCCATTTTATGAATAAAGGTTGCACAAATTTACTATTCATTACTATGATATTGCTCTCCCTCTCTCTCTCACCCATCATTCAATACTCTATTCCTCAGGCAAGTCTCCCGGGCTTATTTAGATTCAAAAGATACAAATTATAACACGATGCACCTAAAAATTATTTGATTTGATTTGAATTTAGTACAATTCAAAATTGTTATATGTTATATTAATCTCAAAATAAACTTGATTTTCTTAAGCCTATCTCGACACATTTAAAATCAGGATATCCCTACCCATTTTGTTTTACCCGTGCTATTCGGTAACATATCGATATGAAGAACATTTTGACTTAGAATATCTTCTAAACATTTTTTGTCTACAGTGCAATTAAGCTTCTTGGCGAGCCTAATGTCTCATAAATGTGAGATCTATTAGTCACTACGTCATTGCATTCTTTTAAATAATTTGGAGGAATCCTTCGAGATAAATAAATATTATGTCAAATGCAAATTATATCATGATAGGTACATTTTCTTTACATAAAATATTAATCTCTAGAATATTTCTTTTCTACCAATTCTATTATATAAAATTCTCTTGACAACCTTTTTTTTTAATAATCATTTAATGTTGTCTGGAGCACTAATAGATAAATGATTAAATCACTATTGAGGAATCTTGGATGATATTTAAAATATATCTTTTTGTCGATTCTATATTTTAGAAGATTACGCAAGTTCTGCTTACTGAGATAAATTAATCATATATTTAATATTCATGAGAGTTATTGTGTGCTAAAGAATTAATTTTCGTCGGTGAAAATATACTTACTTTGTAGTCTTGTATGAAAATCCAACATACACATACAAATGAAATAAAAGTTAATGGAATAGACATTATGGGGTTCATGTGGAAACCCGAAAGAGAAAAAAACACGGGGTGTGACCCAATTGAAATGATTCCACTATTCAGATATATATTACAAAACTTTATCCGCACTTGCAAACATAAAATAATACTACAAAACTAAGAGAAAACATTGGGAAAGTTATAACGATCCAACCGCGTTGATGAAAAACTGACAGTAGGGGGGAGTATGATAGGGAGCTCGATTTATTTTCACTGATGGCAATGGTCGTTAGGCAACTGTGATCCAACAACGGAAGTAGTGTAACCATTCAATGATGAACTGACGATAACAATAAAAAACACAAAGGTCTAACTATAGTGTCGTAGTGACCGTGGCGGCGACAACCACGATAGAGGCTGCGGCAATTGGCCATGTTCAGCCGGCCCCCAGCAATGTCTTCCGTATTCAACCTATCCTTATTTTGAATGCTCGATAACTTTGATCGATCTCCTATGTCATTTTTCTAGGCTTGTCTTCTCAGTTGGCATGGGTTAGAAAATAGCCCACTAAGGCCACTGTAGTGGACTCAAGCCCCAACAAGCTCGAGTAATTGCTTCCTGCCATACACAAACAACAATTTTAAGAAAAAAACCACTATTCTAACATCTACCAAGCAAAATACATCTTTTCATGAATAAATCCATTGGCACATATATAAAAATTGAAATTGACATGTTAGATATGTAAATGCATAAAAATTGATTGGCATGTATGTAAATCTTCCAATCGACACATGGCTGCACCTCAAAACGCAAATTTCCTTCCCCATGGACCACTCCTGTCCGTAAAACAGCCTCTGCTCTGCTATTTATACCGAAGAGCACGCGAAATCCCTCATTCGTCTCAAACCCCGCAATCAATAAAATTCCTGAAAATTTCCATCTCGGTCTCTAATGGCCTCTCTTGTTCTACTAATCTACGAGCTTCTTCATCCTGAAGATGCCCTCATCACCTCCATGGATCGATGTAGGCGCGCCAGTTCATCCGCAAACAACCAAGGAAGAGCTTTCTCCGGCGAAAGGGTGGCTGCTGGAACTCAAAGACCGCCGCAGCGATCGCCGGAAACAGAGCGCCGGGAAACAGGGGACTATTTGCAGGAGATGAGAATCTCCGTGGAGTCCATTTTGTGTTGATTGGAAAAACAAAATTGGTTCAGTGGCTTCATATTGTGGTGATCAGTGCTTTGGAAATAAGTGCGTTTTAATTTTCATTTAATAGCTATTTAAGAGAGTGGGAATGCGGAAACATAACGAGTGATGTTGCTTTGACAAAGGCTGTATTTTGATGGATGAAACTATGGTTGAAGTTATGGACCTATAATGAATAATGTCCAGCTTGGATATTTGAACTTATTTCAGATGATAAATTGGTCATTATTTTATAGTATTTTTTCCATGCTACATGAAATACGAAGATTTATTTATGAAAAGAAATTGGGTCAGCTAACTTCACCAAATTTTAAATTTAATTTAATATGAATATAATATAGATATAATAAAAAAAATTATATTATGCTTAAAATAAAATATTCCCGTAGAGAATTAAAATTCATTCTGGATCAGAATTTCTGGTGAAATATTTTCCTTTCTAATCTCTAGTTGCTTTGTCGGTTATGAATATAAATCGAGATCTCCCCTTCCTTGTCATTTCTTTCCTGACGTAAATTAAAGTTGTTGTACAAATCAACTTATGGACCAACCGGTTTGAATGTCAAATGTCTGCCTCGCTTTCTCATAATTGATGAGCTATGGTCTATGTGCCTTTTATATAATAATACTGATTTCCTTTTTTTTTTATTGCAACATATCATTCTATTTGAGAAGGTAGGATGATTTATACTGTACTTCTTGGAACAATTACTAGGATCAGCAGGGAACAAAGCTTTGGGCTTTTGTCACCTAAACTCTGTCTGCGGACTCTAATAATGTATCGCAATGAGTGCTACACCAGGCGCACTTTATAAAATATTTAAAAAATAAATTTTTTACATTTTACATTGTCCGGACCTTTTCGAAGTGAAACCATGAAAGCTATGAAAGCGATTCACCGGGTTGTGTTGTTAGGGGTTATTGTGACGTTATTTAGTTATTTAAGTGATCATTGAAATTGTTATAGGGGTTATCAAAATATTATTGAAGGGTTATTTGGGCATTTATTGGGATTGTTCTGCTGGGTTCTTAATTTAATGTTAATTAATTATTATTATTTGTTAATCAATTAAATTAATTAAAATTAATTAAAAAATAAATTAAAGCGATAAGCCTATCTCCATCTCTTGGTTTCGCCCTACACCAGCGTCTCGTAATCGAATCCGCGAAACAGATTAGAGCTAGCTGGGAAGACAGACGGGATCGCGGCGTAGAAAGACCTCCGAACTCCATCTGTCTTCTCCTTACGTTTCGCTCCTATCGACACCATTGAGAAAGGTAACCCTCGTCTTCCTCCCCCTTCCTCCCACTACTATTTGAGAAGGTAGGATGATTTATACTGTACTTCTTAGAACAATTACTAGGATCAGCAGGGTATAAAGCTTTGGGCTTTTTTAATAATGTATCGCAACGAGTGCTACATGGGCGCACTTCATAAAATATTTAAAATAAATTTTTTACACTTTATCTTATCCGAACCTTTTCGAAGTGAAATCATGAAAGTTATGAAAGCGATTCACCGGATTGTGTTGTTAGGGGTTATTGTGACATTATTTAAGTGATTATTGAAATTGTTATATGGGGTTATTAAAATATTATTGAAGGGTTATTATGTAGTTATTTGGGAACTTATTGGTGTTATTCTGCCGGGCTATTAATTTAATATTAATTAATTATTATTATTATTATTTATTAATCAATTAAATTAGTTAAAATTAATCTAAAAATAAATTAAAGCCTTAAGCCTATTCCATCTCTTGGTTTCGCCCTACACCAGCGTCTCGTAATCGAATCCGCGAAATAGATTAGTGCTAGCTAGGAAGACAACGACGGGATCGCGGCGTAGAAAGACCTCCGAACTCCATCTCTCTTCTCCTTACGTTTCGCTCCCATCGAGACCATTGAGAAAGGTAACCCTCGTCTTCCTCCTCCTTCCTCCCACTACCCTTTGCGGCTTCCAGCAGGATTTACTAAATCTTTGATTTATGGAAAAATGGGCGAAAACGGGATTTAAGAACCTGTAGGATTTCAAGATGTCATTTTTACTGTTTGGCAGGATTTAGTTCAAATTCTGCTTAAAACCCGCTCAAATCCTGCTACCAAACTGCTCCTAAAGGTGCAAAAAACGGGACTTAACATTCTTTAAGATTTAAAGGTTGGCATCTTCACTGTCTGACAATATTTAAGTCAAATCCTGCACAAACTCTGCTACCAAACATCCCTTAAATTTAAATTTATACAATTTTCTAAATTCAATCTGAGTTAAATACTTCCTGTAGCCAGACATTCCCATTGCTCATTAAAATTTATATTAGTATTAAAAATTTGCTTCTAAATTTACTTTAAAAAAATCCTACCACCTGTTAGAAGATTCATTTTAATCTAATGCAGGAAAGATTTGTTGCTGGAGAGATGGAGAAATCAGTGATGGGATAGTCGGAGAAATTAGCCATGGTATGTCCGGAGATTTCAATGCCGATTGGAGTATTGGAGAAACTTTATACCAAAAACGCATTTCATTTCTCTCCCCGTACCTGCCCTCACCAATGAGGCCTGTGCTCTCACTTTCTTTCTATTTAAATTAATTAATTAGTGTATATTTAATGCATGTTTGAAAGATGATATTTTTTTATTGATTTTCTTATTGGTTCTATCATTCTTGTATTATTCTTATAATTATGCCCTCAAGGAGTTTTGATGCTGCAAGTTCTCTGTTTTGAACTTTATGTAGTTTATTGGGATGTTGGACACAGGAAACTTTTCATCTAATTTGAGCTTTAAGTAGTTTGGTGAGATGTTGACAGGAAGAAACTTTCCATCTAACTCTCTTTCTTTTGACTCTTTGTTGCATTGTATCTTGATTCAGTTAGCTTTCAAAAAACCCCTATCAAACCAGTTTTCATTCTGATGAATGTTGACTACTAGAGATTTGAAAATTGGCAAAGAATTGGTCTGATTAGCCAGAGAGAGTTAGAGGTGGATTGTTTCTATAGTTAGAGAGAGAGGGTCTTTATGCATATTGCTTATTTTTGGCATTTTTAATTGAATTCTTAGACCTTTTCTAGTATCTTTATTTGCTAATGAAATTCTACAGTTTTGTATGCTAGTCTAAGGATGGATGAGGAAGGTTGCTCAAGACTTTGTGTAAAAAAGCTGGTGTAAAATGAACTAAAAGTTATTCAAATGAGCTGCAATGAAAAAAAATTATAGATCTGACCTCAAGCTTTTGAGATGAGTGATTAGATTGAGTTTGATGATTTAAGTTGGAAAAAAAAAAGAAGATGCCAATTATATTTCTTTTAAATTTCAGAAAAAAAAAAACTGACCCACCAATTCTAATATTAGGCATTATTTAGACGAAGAGATAGTCATCTCTCAATTGATTTGATGCTGCACGTTGTACCTGTTCTGAAGTTAAGCAGTTTGGTGGGATGTTGGCAATTCAGCTAAATATAATTATTTTTTCTTTTGGTTGATAGCTTCTTGGTTCAGTTTGCTTTTAAATATTCAATCAAATCATTATCTCAACTGGGTGTTGACCATATAGGTTTAAAATTTAAGAAAGGGTTGGTTTGTGTTAGCTGGAGATGTTTAGATGGAAAGGGTTGGTTTGTGTTAGCTGGAGATGTTTAGATAGGTTTTGTTCCTTTTTTTTAATTGTAATTGTTTTTTTTTTTTTGTGTCATTTTATGATTACTGCTTATTTGATCATTTTTAAAGTATTCTGTAGACTTTTTCTAGCCTGTTAATCTGTTAATTAATGAAATTCAACAATTTTATTGCCTGACTGAGGATGGAAGAGAATTATGTCAAAAACTCAGTTGTAAAATGAATGAACAAAACTATTGGGATGGTTATAATCTGACATTTACATTGGATTGCGTTGCAAACTTGCGAAGCAAGATTCAAAGGGCAGACAAAAAGTGATTGGGATGACTGCTGAGGGCAAGTTTGATTTGTAATTACATATCTCATTGGTTAACTCAAGATTATTAAGAGCTATAGCTCTTTGATTTGTGAGACATCCAATTGATATATTTCAGATGTAAATGTGTTGGCTACAGGAAGCACAGCGCTACCAGGATAGCATATGATGCAAATACTTTCACTTCAAATGGATTTTAGATGCTTGTGTTGTTTATATGGCAGACTAATTGATCATCCATAGACTTTAGCAATATTAGATGAAACCATTGCTAAGTACTTAGCCAAAGTAAAGCAACTCATTTCATATTGATGATATTTTTTTGCAAATTTGGTTGCTACTTTTATTTTAAAATGCTTACACATGTCAAAGTTTTCTCATGCTAAATTATACCTTGTAGTATATGCATAATGATAATGATGGGCATTCAATTGTAAGCAGTCTGGTGTATCTCATAGCCTAGTAGTTGAAATTATTGCGTATCCTTAGAATGTCTTGCATCTTTTTTTCCGTATTTGTATTTTTCCTTAAAATTATTGTGCAAATTTCATCTCCAATTGACTTTAAAATCATTCAAACTTATGGGAGCTTAACAATTGATTAATTCTAAAAGGAATGAGACAAAGTTTTGTAGCGATTAGGGCATAAATAATACATTGTATTCTATTGGTACCAAAACAAAACAATATTGTCCCGAATATATAAAAAGATACACACCTGCAATCTGAGAGGTAGGCTATCTCTCTTAAACCCTAACCCTAGAATCAATACTACAGTCACACGCATCACATAACCTAACTCTAAAAAAATTAATCCCTATTTATACCCAACAATAATAACCAACAAATGACTAAATTTTCCTTTTAGTCTTGTGCATAGCACAAGTTTTCAACTTATTTGGCGGACTTAATGTAGACTTAGTGGAGCACAAAGTGGACGGTGTCGTGGGCACCAATTTAAAATTACTCATCTCCCAAAAAGACATTGTTCTGAAGGTGGAAGAAATGAAACTGTTGTCGGACTAAGTCTTATGGCTCCCACGTAGGGCTGTCAAAAAAGCTCGTTGTTCGCTAACAGTTCATGTTCAGCTCGCTAGGAAGTTCGTGTTTAATTCGTTCGATAAGCAAACGAGACAAACACGAATAATTTTTTTTCGTTCGGTTTATAAACAAACCAAACACGAACAGTCAATTGTTCAATCTTGTTCGAATCGTTATTGTTCTAAATATAATTTAAAATAATTCTATATAAAAAAATTCATTATATTTTAAAAATAATTATATATTCTAAAAACCTTTAAAAATTTATCATGTTTGAAAAAAAATTAAATCTTATAAATTATAATTTGATCTTCAGATTCGCTTCTTAGCTTATATTAAATCCTATAATTTTATATTTATCTTCAGGTTCACCTCTTAGCTTAAATTTTCTTATATTTCTTTTAGATTTATTTAGTTTATTTGAGTGAAACCTAGTTTTTGAAGTTTTTGGGAGTGAAATCTCGCATATTGCCTCATCTGATTTTTTTATGGATGAGATATGATATTATGATTTTATTGTGAGCTGTATTTCGGCTATTGTGCATTTGTGCTGTAATTCATATAAGTTTAAGCATTAATTTCATATAAGTTTAAGTTTTTTAAAAATTTTGAACAATTCAATCATTAAAAATAAATTTGTAAGATTTCAAATAATTCAAAAAATTCGAATAATTCGAACAATTCAGACAGTTCGAATAAATTTGTAAGATTTCAAATAATTCAAAAAATTTGAATAATTCGAACATTTTAAATATTTTAAACATTTCAAACATATTTCAAACAAATCAAACCGAACGTGAACAATAACTTCATGAACAATTTCAAACAGGAGCTTATTTCAAACGAACCGAACACAAACACAAGCTTTGTTCGTTCGTGTTCGATTTGTTTGCACCACTACTCCAACGTAGTATCGTAATTTGCTTATTCTCTCCATTTAACCAGAAATTCATATTGACCCTCATGAGTTCAAAATATAATTTTACGCACATTTGTCGGTCACATTTGAATTTGATGGTATTCTGATGTCATGTCAATCTTGGAGATTATCTTTAGCCCTAAACAACTCGTCTAGTAGTTCATCGGTCACCGAGATAAAAAATTTATCAGGTACCATTTCCTTATTCACTGTCTTATAATCCACACAAACACCAACTCCCACCCTTCTTCTTCACTAGCAAGGCTAGGCTAGAGAGGGGCTCACACTAGGTTGTATGGTCTCGACCTCCAACATCTATCAGATCATTCTCTTGATCACGTCATTTTGTACCTAAGGATAGCGGTATGGGCACACACTGATGGAAGAAATCCTCGGTCTCAGGGTTGTTACATGCTTATGTTCCTTCCGAGGCGACAATTCGCATGACAATTGGAAAACTTATGTAATGTGTTGTAGGAGTTGTCGTATCTACATCAAAATCTTTGCCAATTTCGTATCTTTTGTCTCTTACATGCTATGCAACTCGATCAAGAATCTCATTCATGTGTCTTGTATTGCCCTAACCATAGTCTTGAGTGGTACCAAGGTCTTGCACAAACTAGCGTCGTCACGGAGAACCACCATCTCGTCTCTCTCTTAGAATTCCATTGTCATGAGTTCTTAATTTATCTTAGTCTCCCTTAAATACTGCAACAATTTCATACCCAATATCACTTAAGTACTCCCTAAATCCAAAAGAAGTAAATTTTCTATCACCTGAATATCTTGTAGTGTTAAAATAATCATCCATTTTCAAACTCCTCTACTCTTTTCCACTTGTTTTGTCCTCATCATGACTCTAATTTTTTTTTTGTTAACCATCTCAAGCCCAAATTGCTTCACCACTTAAGTAGAGATGAAGTTGTAGGTGACCCCACTATCTACCAAGACCACTATGTCCTGATCTTTGATCTAAGTAGAGATGAAGTTGTGGATGACCCTACTATCTAACAACACCACTATGTCCTGATCTCCTATTTGTCCCTAAAGTTTTATAGAATGGTACGTTATTAAGCTTGCCATTGAGTTCAATGAGACTTCTGCCACATCTAAGTGAGGGTGTTCCTCCTCCACCACAACTTTCTTTGTTCTTCATCACCTACCTGCTCCTCATCACACACTGTGAGAACCTATAAGGTTTGATACCTGCAACTGTGTCCTATGGCAATCGTGTCATCACACTGAAAACATAATCCCTTGGTTGGCTTCTTTTGAATATTTTTCTCTATAAGGTGTTTGAATGTCGCCCCTAGTTATGACCCATCACTCTTGTTCTGTCAAGCCTTTGGAATCTCACTATTTGAGTTTTTGGTATCGTCGTGGTTATAGTATTTTGATATGACGCTCCACTTGTGCTGCTCCTATTAGCTGGTTCCATTGCATTTTTATTTTCAACCAACTACACTAATTCTATAATATTCCAAAATCCTCACCACCTCAGCGGACGAAGTGCTGCTCAAATTTTTGGCTTCAACCATTTCATGAAGTTTTCTTCCAACACTTCTTCTGATATCTCTTCAAACGGCCTTATAACATCTTAAATTTCTCCATATAATCCATGACGGGCCTTTTGGACCAATGCATAAAACTGCTCTTGTACATCTACT